CTTCAAGGAACTCAAGCAAGTCCAGTTGCTACGATTAATCCACGAGAATAACCATGACCTGGATGACTGAGAATCTTCACAGACATTTCTTGATAAAATAATCTGTCAGCAAGTTCAGTACAAAAATACAGATCCCAAAATCAGACAGGGAGTGGTATTTTATGAGGCATACATCAAACAAAAGCCAGACACAAACAGATAACACAGTATATACCTACAGTTCTTTTTAAATTAGCTGTAGTTTCTCTGTCTTCTTCTTCCGGTGTGCTAACGTTCTGTTTCTTCATCTCGCTCTGCAGGGCAAAGAGGTGAGTCAGGAGAGCGTGAAGCAGTTTTATGACAACTGGCTGTCCCGTCAGAACACGATGTCATCCCAGGACGACCTCGATGAGCCCCTGACTCGGCCTCCGTCTCCGCCCGCTGCCAACTCCTCACACCTTGCCTACGCCAAGCTGAAGAACCAGGCCTCCAAAGTGTCCTGGGGCAGCAGCTTCTCCAGGTAATAAGTCACTCCTTTAAGTGTTCCTAAGTGGCTTCTAACTGCCAGTCAGTCACATGTATTCACAGTTGACCCCTCCTTCAGACCCTGTGTACTCATCTATCCTTTCCTTGTTTTTCTTCAGCTGTATGACAGACGAGACGATGCTGGGATCCCGGCAGCCGACGCAGGAGGAGCTGGATGAACCTCCTGCTATGCTTCCTGCTGCCGCTCAGCTCAGACGGAGGCTCCTGAAGGAGGCCAATGTCGACCTGACCTCCTTTGACACTGATGAGCTTTCACCAAGGTGAGATTTTAGAGAAACACCTTCTGGTCCAGAGCAACCAGAACTTATAGAACATCTCCCAGATCATTACAGTGTACATGATATCAGTTTTGCCCTCAGACAGACTTGACTTTTTGCTGCATCCTGACCAGGAAATAGGCAAACACCATGTAAATTACACAGATCATTTCAGTGTTCTTCAAATCAAATCAAGTTTATTTATACAGCATGTTTACAACAACCTGAGTTGAGCAAAATACTATACATGTTATCAGTCAGGCAGCAACAAAAGTAAAGACAAAAAGCTTGTAAAACCTCTTAAAGACAAAAAAATATCAGAAAATATCTAAACAAAAAAAAATCTGGACCTTTATGGATTACCCAAAGACATTGAAAATATGCGTATCAGCAGCTGTTCTGAGGATCTGAGAGGCTTTGAGGTAGAGGCAAAGAAGTTCAGGAGTGTCACCGGGCACCGACCCATGCATGGCTTTTAAGACAACTTAAGTGGTATCTGCTGTCATCTTCAATTAGTGAGGAAAGAGCCTAATGTATCTGCCTGTGCAGCGCTCTTTTACAGGATCTGTTAGCGCCATAGTTGTAGCTGAAGAAAATTTCACCCTTAATGGAAATAGTCATGTCGTCATTTTACTTGTTTCTGTGTTGTTGTTTGCTTTTATTTATTCTTAAAATGGCTTTAATGCTGCCACAAAGCACAGCGCTGTCTTTAAACGTGTGCTGCTTCCTTTATTCTTGAAGCTAAAGCGTCTTTGATTTTATCCTTTCCTTAAAAGCCGTGAAGATGGCGCCACTCGGAAAGAAGACCATGAACAAGAGGAGGATGATGATGAGAGGACAGAAGAAGGAGAGAGCAAATATGAGCAGGAACAAGAGGAAGAACAAGAGGAAGAAGAAGAGGAGGACCAACAGGAGCATTCTGAGGTGGAGAGAGATGAGCTGGATGAACAATCACAGCACAGCGAAGAGGATGAACGTGCCAAATACCCAGAATGCACCTCTCTGGAACTCATCGAGAGCGGCGACGAGAAAAGTCTCGACCTGCCAGAGTCTCCCAGACCTCTGAGTCAGGAAACGAGAAACCTCACGGCCAGCGAGCTGCTGCTTAACAAGTCAGTAGACAAAAGAAACAACATAAGAACTTCTCTGCAAATAAATCACCAGCTACTACATCATATTTTGACTTGTTAAGCTCCATCATTCTCTGTTTTTTTCTTTCTTTTCCCTCCATCTCTTCTAAAGTATGTTTGAAAACGACGAGATCTCGGACTCCGATAAGTTTTTCACGACGCTGCCGAGGCCTCTGAAGCTGCTCTTTGCCCTCTACAACACCATGGTGTCCAAGTCAGAGATGCTGTGCTACTTTGTGATCATCCTCAACCACATCGTGTCGGCTTCGTTCCTCTCCCTCATCCTGCCGATCCTCATATTCCTCTGGGCCATGCTGTCTGTGCCTCGGCCCACCAAACGCTTCTGGATGACGGCTATCATCTACACAGAGGTAGACACAGTTTGGTGTGTTTAACGTCGTTTTCACATGTGGTGTTCTGTATGTTATACATATGGCACACTGACAATAAAGCTGGCTTGACTTTTAAATTAAGGCACTGATTCCAAAGTTTTTCAGAGAACTGAAAAACTTAGAGACTGAAATTTATGTGTGTCCACTTAATGTGATATTGGTGCCTCATAGATAGTGTCCATGATTGAAGCCAAGTAGCCAAAAACGGACTTAAGTAACTTTTAAATTGTGATAATTATCTATTATTTCATAAATTATGCACATCTGTTNATGACATATGCATCCGTGTTTTTGATACCACAGTTGGCCTACGACGCCTGGGTCACCAGCTCAAAGTCGGCTCTGAAGGACCTGAAGAAGGAGAAGAAAAAAATTAAGAAAGAGGAGAAGAAGAAAGCAAAGAGAGAGCTGCAGAGACAGCAGGGTGAGAACAAAACATGGGATATTCACTACATAACACAAGTGAATCTCCGTCTGTAGGCATGCATGTGTGAAAGGTGTGAAAAGATCTGGAGGTGATTTTAGAGACAATTCTGAGGCTGAACGGTCTTAAAATGATCCCCACAGACAACAGGATGTCGACCAATAAGTGTCACTGAGCAGAGAGAAATAAAGAACTGTAAGACATGCAACAAAGGTCAAACTGTGGAAATAGCCATTGCTGTATGTGTTACCTTAACCATTCGAACCCACAATCCTGTCTTTACAGATTGTTTTGAAGGTGATGCCGGAGTCAATGCCACAGGATCATCAAAAATCCAGACGTTTGCAGATTAGATTTTACGATTTCATGTCTTGTTTTTCCTGCCGAGAGTTTCCTTTAAAAAGTTTAATCAAACCTTCAATCAGGCCTTCAGATTTTAATAACAAAAGTATTTATCCACCAGGAGCAGTGGAAGCGTTTTCATTGGGTACCTTGGTGTTCATTAATCTGTTATTGTTTCTAGTCAAGTAGCTAATAGCAGAGGAGTCTGGAGATTCAACTTCTGCTCAGTAGTTTTAAAGACCTCCTGTTCAAAAGTTGCTCCATGATGAAATCTGTTCTCCAGGCATTGAGAGAGGAGACTCTAGTGAGGATGAACTGGAAGAAAGCACCATGGAGGAGCCGCCAGGGGAGGAAAAAGGTAAAGAAACACACTCACAGCGAACCACAGGATCTGATCACTTTTTCACGGTTAAACTTCAAAGATTTGGGAATGTTGTTCTTCTGAATGACCTGTTTGTTGTTGCTGAAATGCGTTGAAGCAGCCGTAAAGTGCAGGAAAAACCTTCACCATGATGAACTTTTTGCCCTGATTTACTCCTGACAGAAAACATCCTGCAGCGCGTCATTAGCACGCTAAAGTTCGGCATCGTGTTCATTCAGTCTCTCCTCGACGACCTGACGGAGGGTCTGAACTCATTCTGCAAAGACAACCTGGACATTTCCAAAGTGCTGCGCTTCGAACGAGCGTTACTCAACCAGCAGCAAAAGAAGGTGGGAGGAGAGAATATAAACAAGTGTGATTTCAGAAATGTCTTGTTGAAAAAAACCTTTAATCAGTCCTTCACCTCAACTTTAATTCAATATAAGCATTTAAAATAGTTTAACCTTGAAGGAATCCACAGATCTGTAGAATCAACTGGTGTGTGTTATTATCAGAACTGTGGAGGTTAATGTGTGTACTGTATGTATGTGTAAGTGAAATAAATGGATTATGTACC